AGAGGCAGTCGCAGAGGGCAAGTGAGGAGGAGGAGTGACTGTTAGAGGAGAGGAGATGGGAGGCGACAGTGGAAGCTGCAGACACACAGGAGCGGCTGGCTCAGTGGCTACCGAAGCAATGGCCCGGACTAGCGGAGTAACCGGCTCCGCGGAGATTGTAGCCTCCTGACAGGAGCAACTGACCCACAGGCGACTGGCGACTACCGGAGATTGTAGCCTCCGGACTACTGGCGCTGCTGGCGACACGACGGCTGCCTCCACTCAACCTCCCCCAGCTGCCCCACGCCCCTATCACACACCCCCTGCTGCACCCCCTAGCTCCACTCCCACGTCACCCCCCTAGCACCATTCCTTCGGCTCCCACACACCCACCCCCCTGAGCGGCAGCTGCAGCACCGGGAGACGGAGGAGGAGGAGGAGTAGGGGACGGCGCACACAACCGGCACCCCCACAACCGCCACCCCCACACTCCCCACCCCCAAACCCTAACACGGGTGGCATGGGGTAGGAGCGCGGGGGACGGCGAGGGGGACGGCGCGCGGCCCCCAAGGCGCCACCACGGGGCAACAAGGGGTCGCGCGAGGCTCCCCACGGCGCCGCGACGAGGCAGCGGGGGGGTCGCGCACGGCTCCAGGGGTGGCGCGCAGGTCCCCGGGGGCGACGCGAGGGTCGACGGCAAGGGGGACGGCGCGCGGCCACCAGGGCGCCACCACGGGGCAGCGGGGGGCCGCGCGCGACTCCCCAGGGCGCCGCGACGAGGCAGCGGGGGGGTCGCGCACGGCTCCAGGGGTGGCGCGCGGGTCCCCGGGGGCGACGCGAGGGTCGACGGGGGTGGCGTGCGGGTCCCCTGAGGCGACGCGAGGGTCGACGGGGGTGACGCGCAGGTCCAGCAGGGCCGGCGCGCCAGGAAGAAAAGGGGTCGCGCGCCTCGGGGCGCGCGCCAGAGAGTAAACCGCCGCGCGCTACGTCGCACGCCACGGGGCGTGCGACAGATCGAGTAGCAGCGGAAGCAGGTTGGTGGGCCCACAGGCCAAGGAAGGACAGGCTCTGATACCATGTCAAAATATACTAAGTAGTAGGGCCTAGGCTTAGGAGCCTAGGCCACATGAAGACTAGGACGAGGCGCCAAGTACGAGCGAGAGTTGAACTGAAACAAGAATTGAGAAAAAAATGATTGGACTAGCAAGCAGGTTGGTACAAATAGCAAACCCTAAAGGGCTGTACTCACTATTGAGTACCCCACTGCAGGCTAGACAAATAACATACTATGACAGCTGGCATTGACAGAAATCTCGCTGAGTCAGTTTACCCGCGAGGAACAGGTATCCTAACATCGTAGCGAAAGAATCGAGGAATATATTTTCTTGTACATGGTTGGGAGCGACCCATGTTTCACACGCTGATTAAGGAAATCGTGGGGGGAAACCGCAGCTGGAAAAAGTCCTTGGTGAGGGTCCTGAACGCTTGCCTACTCGATTTTTTTGTGCCGGCCAGAATCTGACAATAATGACACTTAATATTGTCGCTTTGTGTGCGACAATCCCAACTTCTGTCTGTTCCCTGATGACTGGGAAGCGCTGCGAGCCAACGCTGCCAACTGTGCAATCCAGATTTGTAGGATTTCAGCTGATTACAGCTTTGCTGTACCGGTGCGACTGTGTGGTGCCGCGTGGGGGGGAATTGTGTGTTAGTAGAATTGACTGCAACACTGATTTATTGCTCTGAACCTTGACGAATCAGAGTGAGACGACGTTGGACACTGACCAATCAGAGTAGCCAACTTCTGAAAAAATGTGCACCCATAATCCAAGGGGAAATTTTTTTCCGGATTCAGGGAGGCCGAAAATGAAACGTTAGCCCTGATTTAAGTTCGTTCAAGAAGAGTTGGGGCAAATCAGAAATTCGTGTCGAAATTGGGCAAACATGCAATGATTGCTTCTGGTGACGTTAGAAAATGCAGAATCGAAAGCCAACCATTCCGATTTCGATTTGCGTAATCCGAAATCACATATATTCTCGACTGTTTGTGCTAATTCAAAATGAATCTTGGGAAGCGCGTAGTTTTAAGATAAAAAATTCATAAGCTGCGTAAAGTGTACACATCTACCCAATAACATGGTATGCACTTGAATAAAGTTCCTAGACTAAGCTCCATGCACCTGAAAATGGCCGATGATTTTTTGTTGTTCTAGAGTTTCGAAACACCTTCCAGGTTTTTCAACTGCAAGTCGAGGTTGAGAATGACGGAGATGGAGAATGTTCTCTCCCTGGAACTTTGCGTGGCGCGACAAACATGATTGGCCGCCTGCCTTGCGAAAACAGAGAGACACCAGTTCGCGAATGTGTATCTTCTCAAACGGAGAGCTTAGATCCATCGAGGTGCAGTCAACCAAACTTGTCGCCAACTGACCTGATGGTCCGAAGGTTTCGTCAGTCATCGATCAATCAGTGAGCGAGTCCGTCAGACACAACCTCCCCCTTCGATTGATCTGCTGGCATTTCCTTACCTGAGAGGTTTCTGGCTGATTTTGCTGCTGTTCGCCTTAGCAAGCAGTGTTTTTTCAGTGGCTCTAAAATTGCAGCCATAGCTGGAACTCCTGCTGGGAAAGGCACCATGAAGTGGGCGATCAAGGCAGCAGATGCTGTTCCAGCCTCGGAAGGGGTGCTTTCCAAAGGTGAATCCCTTGGACTTGCAACTTGTGCACAGAGTGTCCCCGCCAGTCTGAGTGTGGAAACGTCAATCTTGATTAGCAGACTGAAGGACCTGGTTTCTTATTCTGATGCAGGACCAACGTATAAAAGTTTCTACGCCAAGGATGGGTATGCCAAGCTGGAAGGCATCAATACCGTCTGGGAGCTTTTCGAGTACGTCTCAACCATCCAAATGTTGTGTTTTATCATCTGAATACCCCTAATCTTGTTACCGCATTCCGCGCGTACAGCATCTCAGTCTCTGGGGCCATCTTATTTTCGACTTGGATCTCTTTCTTGTCAGTCGTCTTGCACAATTTGCTAACCTTGAATGTTTGACGATCTCAGCAATTCCGTCAAGAAATTCGCGAAGAACAAGTTCCTAGGAAAGCGATCAGTCGTCGACGGCGTGGTAAGCATTTACTCAGCTTAATTACTCGACAATTTTTATATCGCTGTTGCTAGTGTCTACAACAGGTAATTGTACTTCAATACCTGCGAAGTTGAGTCTCGTGTTATAAAACTCTGTTCGACGTGAATATCCGTTCAGGCGGGTCCATACGAATGGCAAACGTACGAGGAGGTTGGCTCTACGGTCAAGAAGATCGCGTCTGCACTTCGCTTCAACGGCCTTCAACCCGTAAGTTGATGCTTCTTTTCACCAAATGCCCATATTTTCCATGGAGACTCAACATTTCAATATAATCTTTCCTGTGTTTCGTTTGTTGTCACGATAGAATAGTAACAACGTCGTTATTCTCCAACTGATGTTGAAATTATCTCTCTTTTCTCCTTTTCTCTGGTGCAGCAAAGCCGCGTTGGCATATATGGGATCAACTCGCCTGAATGGTTCATGACCATGGAGGTGCGCCTGCTTCTCATACGCATTTAAAAAGCATTGTTCGTTCACATCACCGGGCTTCCGTTTCTTGATTACAGAGGCTGTAGCCCAATCAGCTGTGTTTTGGAGTCTCGCTGATATTGTGCTGGAGATGTTTGTAACTTTTGCAGGCATGCAACAGCCAATCGATTCACTGCGTGCCACTCTATGACACCCTCGGTACGTGTCCGCTTTAAGGTTCCTCTGCATCGCAGAAGGAAGGTTATCTGCTTCTCCTCAGCATCCTCCGTTCACATACTTCCGCATGTCTGCATCATTTCACTTCGATCCCCTCTATATCATATCCCCTCTGTGTCCCCGCTGTATTATCCGCAGGCCCTGAGGCAGTGGAGTTCATTTTGAACCACGCAGAAGTGTCTTCGGTCGCTGTCATGCCTGCCAATCTCCCTGCGGTGAGCTCTCAAGTCCAGTGCGAACCGACCAGCTGGAAAATCTATGCCTGTGACACTGCTTCCAAACTCTGTACACGTGACTAATCTTCACCTGTGAGCTGGTTTATTTTTCATCATTTGTGCATCTGTTCTGATTCGACCCCATGACTCTCTTCCTGTTTGCAGCTTCTCAAGAGTCTCCCCAAGTGCACAGAGCACGTAAAGAGTGAGTGTCGTTCTTATCCCGGTGTCGTCTTTTGACAAACTGATAGTTTGAGCCGCACTTTGCAGCGAACCGTCTCGAACATGCTCTTCCTTGAACGAACCTCCATAACCACTGAGTATGTGTGAATTCCGTTCTCCTTTGTTCCTTTCCTGGCAGCTGTTATAAGCATGGGAGCTGTGGATGAGGAGTCGAGCAAGGCACTGAAGGACCTTGGCATCAAGGCGCTTTCATGGGAGGACGCTCTTAAGGAGGTACTGCTCAGTGAGATTGTTTTATGGGTATTAAGGTTGTTACGGCCAGCTCAGCCAATTTTCCTTCAGTGAACACATGTGGACCAGCTAGGGGGTCTATCTAGTGATTCCTGAGAGCGCATTTAGGACAACAATTGCCGTCATTGCAGGAGAAACGATCATCTACGCTGGAACGGCAAATTCAGCGCACACCACTTGTCGCTTTCTTTTGGATGTTTTCAGGGCGAGTCGAACTCTGTGGAGCCCATCCCTCCAAAGCCAGAGGATATTTGCACGATCATGTACACTTCAGGTACTTCTTGATGCACCATCGGTTGTAGCATGCTCAGTTTCAGGCATGGCCGTTTGTGCCTGATTGTGTCAATACAGATACTACTACCACCGTTGCAACCAAATCATGTTGTTCAGGTTGCATTTTTTTTGGCCTAACATTTATCATCGCTGTGTACACTCCAGATTATTGTCCACAAGTTTCATGCTCTAATGCTTTGCAATACAATCTGTCATTACAATCTGTCATACCTGTGTGCCCTCCCTGATTCCCCCTCTTCCCACCCCAGGCACCACAGGCGAGCCCAAGGGAGTTCTCTTGACACACAGGGCATTGCTGGCTGCCATTGCCGGGAATAAGGATTTCGTTGCATACAATAACATCAACGTAAGACTCGGCTGCATACAGTCACAGGAGCACATGCGGTGTTTTTAACAGCAAAATGCGTTAGCCCAGATCTTCGAGCATCAGCCATTGTGCCTGTCTACATATCAGCCAATTCAACCTGCCAACACTAGTTGCGAGGTTGCAGCTTCTTGTTGCTGATATTGGGCTGCATTTTGCCCCCACCCTTCTCTCACCCGCCCTCCCTTTCACAGTTTGGCGAAGACGAGATGTATCTCTCCTACCTGCCCCTGGCGCACATCTTTGACCGCTCAGCGGAGGAGCTGATCACCTACTTTGGTGGCGCCATTGGCTTCTGGCGCGGGGTGAGTCACCATCTTAGCTTTGAAACGTCTCAAAACTCTTTGACCGCTCAGCTGAGGAGCTCATCACCTACTTCGGTGGCGCCATTGGCTTCTGGCGTGGGGTGAGCCCTCATCCACGCACGTGTAGGGGGATCCCCGCTTATATCCCGTAGCAAGAAATCCAGCAGTTACTGTGCTCGCAGTGTGTGCTCGCTGCTTGTATTGGAGGCTCTGTGTGTATGGTGGGTCCGTGTAAATCCACTAACAGGTTACATGTACTTCTGCCCCTCTCGCTATTCCGCTGAATTGTTTCCCCCGCCTCTCTTTCCCCTCCCCCCCTCCTCTCCCCCCACTCGCTCCCCCTCTCCCCGCACTCCCCTCCTCTCGCCAGGACGTCAAGTTGCTCACGGAGGACATTGCAGAGCTCAGGCCCACCTTTTTCTGTGGCGTCCCCCGCATCTTCGACCGCATTTACGCTGGTCAGCACCCCCCCTCCCCCCTCCTCCCCTCTCCTCTCTCCCCTCTCTCCTATCCTCTCTCCCTTTCCCTTCTTATGTGGCGTGCCTCGCGTCTTTGATTGCGTCCATGCTGGTCGCTCCCCTGCCACTCCCCGCTCCCTTCCCCTCCTCTCTGATCCCTCACCCCTCACAACTGCTGTCAAGCATATTCTTCCTCTACTGTCGCACTACTGCTGCTGGCTCGCCCCTCCTCGGCCTGACCCGCATCACACCTCCATCTCAGGGTTCCCGGTTTTGCATAGGCCCCGTTTTACCTGGTCTACATGTGCTAGCTGGTTAACGTCCCTTCCTCTCTGTTCATCCGTCCGCTCTAACACTTTTTGCCCTGCTCCGGCCATCCTCTGCATCTCCCTCCTTGCCTGCCAGGTGTGAAGGCGAAGGTAGAAGCAGCAGGGGGCATTAGCAAGTTCCTGTTTGACCTGGCATACAGCCGCAAGCAGGCTCGCATCCGGGCTGGCGTGGCCGTGCAGTTTGCAGCTCCGATCTCAGATGCGATTGTCTTCAACAAGGTAGGCAGTCGCCTTTGAGAACATGCCTGCCTGAGGCCGTACGCTTTTGAGTCGACTCAAATGCAGTTTGCCGCTCCGATCTCAGATGCGATTGTCTTCAACAAGGTAAATGGTCGCTAATGAGAACATTAACAGTTTAACAGGAGTCTCTGAGCTTCTGTCCCATGCCTTGGTTGTTTATCAGAATCCTCAAAGCATCTCTCACTCCCTGCGTTCTCTTGTTCCCTGCTCCCCACCTGTCTCGCTCCTCTCTCCCTCGCGTGTCCTGTGTACAGATCAAGGCGCGCCTCGGAGGGCGGGTGAAGGCCATCTGCTCCGGTGCTGCACCTCTCGCCCCCCACGTGGAGGAGTTCCTAAAGATCACCATGTGCTGCCCCGTGGTGCAAGGATATGGTGAGTTTCTTTACTGGCTTACAGAGTGGTGCCATGCGGTGCTGCACCTCTCGCCCCCCCCCCCCCCCCCCGTGGAGGAGTTCCTAAAGATCACCATGTGCTGCCCCGTGGTGCAAGGATATGGTGAGTTACTGTCAAGCCAGATATGGTGACAGGTTAAGGGAAGAGAAGGGCTATGGTGAGCTTGCTGCTCCTTTACTGGCTTTTAGAGTGGTGCAGTGCGGTGTTGCCCCCTTCGCCCCCCACTAGGAGTTCCTTAAAGCGACGGGCAACTTTTGGCAGTGTTGGGTTCAGAAGTTTTTTTTTTGAACCAGGCTTGCCAGCGCGAAAGTGCTGGCTGGCGAAAACCAGGATTTCGTGCGGACACTTTCCATCCGCAGTAACAGTTCGCCAGGGTTTCGGGTTTTGGGTGGCAAATGTGCACCGTCGCTTTAAGATGACCATGTGCTGCCCCGTGGTCCAAGGAAATGGTGAGCCGCTTTTAGATATGACACAGAAGTCAACTCAACAGTAAAAACGAATCTCACCTCAAGATTACTATGAGCAGGTGACTGCCACCATTGGGTTCACAATACGGGCGCTGGATACACCGCGCATCTTTTGCCGGGATGAACTGCGAACCACACTTCACTCAAACCAAACCATGCCCCTAAGTGGGCATGCCCACGCCCACTCTGGAGACGCGCCTCGAGTCAGTCCCTGACATGAACTATGATGCCCTCGCCACTCCCATTCATGCCCCCTCACCTCATTCCCTTTCTTTCCCCACCTTTTCATGCCCCCTCCCACTCCCTCAATCCCTCTCTCCCCTTCTCTCAATACCCTCTTAATGCCATCAGGTCTCACCGAAACCAACGCCAGTGGGTTCATCTCGTACACAGAGGGCATCGAGCAGGCAGGCACGGTGGGCCCGCCCATGCCCACTCTGGAAACACGCCTCGAGTCAGTCCCTGACATGAACTATGATGCTCTTGCCACTCCCGCCCGCGGGGAGATCTGCCTCCGCGGCCCGATTCTGTTCTCGGGGTACTACAAGCGGGATGATTTGACCAAGGAGGCGATTGATGATGAAGGATGGTTCCATACAGGTGTGTGCGCGATAGAGAGGGTGGGAGGAGGTAAGAGGGGGGCGTTGGGGTGTGTGTGGGTGGAATCTACGGAAGATATTTCTCGGCCTGATTCTGTTCTCGGGGTACTACAAGCGAGATGATCTGACCAAGGAGGCGATTGATGATGAGGGCTGGTTCCATACAGGTGCGAGTTTGAGAGAGATTGTGGTAGAGAGGGTAGTGGGAGGAAGAGGAGGGGCTTTGGGGTGTGGGTGGTGAAAGAAAGTGGGGAGAGATCTGTATCCGCGACCCAGTGCTGTTCTCGGGGTACTACAAGCTGGATGATCTAACCAAAGGGGGGGATCGACGATGGGGTATGGTTCCATACAGGTGCTTCAAAGAGGGTGGGAAGAGAGAGGAGTGTGGGAGGAAGAGGAGGGGACATTGGGCTGTGGGTGGTGGAAGGGGGGAGTTAGACTGTGGTGGTGCAACAGGGGAAAGATATGTCGTTGCGACTGAGTGCTGTTCCCTGGAAGTATCTGTGCTTGGGGTCCAATAAGGGAGAGGATGAGTGAAGCTGGGAGGGATGTTCCGCATCAAAGGAAGGAGGTGCCCATGGGCTATGTTGTAATAAACTCGCATCGCGTGCATGGATGTGTGCATGTGTGCGTCTGTGTATGTGTGCATGTGTGCATCTGTGCATGTGTGCGTGTGCGTATGTGTGCATGTGTGCATGTGTGTGCATGAGTGCATGTGTGCATGTGTGTGCATGTGTGCATGTGTGCATGTGTGCGTCTGCGTATGTGTGCATGTGTGCATGTGTGTGCATGTGTGCATGTGTGCATGTGTGCATCTGCGTATGTGTGCATGTGTGCGTCTGCGTATGTGTGCACGTGTGTGTGCATGTGTGCACGTGTTTGTGCATGTGTACACGTGTGCATGGATTTCTCATGAGCAGGAGACGTGGGCGAGTGGCAGCCGGACGGGTCAATGAAGATAGTGGATCGCAAGAAGAACATTTTCAAGCTCGCTCAGGGCGAGTATGTGGCTGTCGAGAACCTCGAGAACGTCTATGGCAACTGCTCCGCTATAGACATGGTGAGTTACTCATTATGGTGTGCGTATAAATGAATTTACAGGTTCAGTTATGATTTGGCTTTCACATGTGGCTGTGGAGGTCCTGGAGAACGAGTATGGGAAGGAACCTGGCGCAATAGTATGAACTGCTCCACTATGGTCATGGTGGGTTGCTTGCTTACTATTGAACTGTAATTAATTTCTGTGTGGTTCCCTTCTCTAAGTCCTGTTTTACCCCACCCACATCGGCTCACCCCGTTGTAACCCACTCTGCCCCTTTCCACCTCACTGCACCACCCCCACCCCAATATCAGGTGTGGGTGTACGGGAACAGCTTCGAGGCGGTGCTGGTGGCGGTGGTGGTGCCGAACCAGTTGACACTAGAGGCGTGGGCCAAGGGCGCTGGGGTGGAGGGCGACTATGCTGCCCACTGTAACTCACCGTACCCCTTTTCACCGCATTGTACCCCGCTTTACCCCACTTACAGGTGTGGGTGTACGGGAACAGCTTCGAGGCGGTGCTGGTGGCGGTGGTGGTGCCGAACCAGCCAGCTCTTGAGGCGTGGGCCAAGGGCGCTGGAGTGGAGGGCGACTATGCTGCCCTGTGCCAGACACCGGAGGCCAAGAGCTTCATCCTGGAGAAGCTTGTAGAGACTGGGAAGAAGGGCCAGGTGAGATAAAGGGCAGAGAGAGGGGAAAGGCAGGGGGAGAGCGGGTGTGGGTGTTATGGGAGCAGCTTTGAAAGACACCCGAGGCCAAGAGCTTCATCCTGGAGAAGCTTGTAGAGACGGGGAAGAAGGGCCAGGTGAGGGAAGGGGGATGGGGCAATGGGAGAAGGGGGGGATGGGCAAGTGGCGCGAGGAGGGAAAAGGAGGGAGGAATGAGGGGGGAAGAAAGGAAGGGAGACTGGCACGGGAAGGCCTCGTCATTTTCACACCCTTCGCCTCCTCATACCCTACCCCACTCCCCTCTTGATTTATGCCATCTGCTGGTCTTGATATTGTACAGGCCGTGTCTGTGGACATCCTTCCACGTTGAGTGGAGCGAGAGGTCCCCACACCAACCCTTAACTCACTCATTCCCTCACTCCCTCCCTCATTTTGTTCGCTCTGAGCAGCTCAAGGGCTCTGAGATGGTGAAGGGAGTGCATCTGGACAGTGTGCCCTTCGATGCAGCAAGAGACCTTCTCACACACCCGCCTTCGCTCTGTCCTCTCTCCATCGCTCCCTCCCCCTCTTCCCTTCCTCCATTTGCTCTGAGCAGCTCAAGGGCTTTGAGATGGTGAAGGGAGTGCATCTGGACAGTGTGCCCTTCGATGCAGAGAGGGACCTCCTCACACCCACCTTCAAGAAGAAACGGCCCCAGCTGCTCAAATACTACCAGGTGGGTTTCTTGCTGTCGCCGCCCTGCCTTTCCCCGTGTTCTTTCCATTCCTGTGTGATGCCTGGAAAATAAAATACATTTTTCAGACAGTGACCAAGTATTCCCAGTGCATACCCAGCCCAGTCACTAACAGTCGTTGCCCATCCTCTGAGTTGCGTTGCGACTGCTGGGTGTGCATGGCATGCTGCTTTGAATCAGTTCTGAGACATCTCAGAACTTGTTCACAATGCTTCTCATGCTGTTTCGAATGTGTCGCATGGACGTGGCACTTAGCCTGTCTTTCCCTGCTGCTTTTCACATTGATAAATCTTTGCAGGAGCCCATTGATGCCATGTACGGTACATGCTGTTCTCAAACATGAGTTCTGTTACTGGCTGGCTAGTGCATTCTGCTTCATCCAACCTTTCTCTGCTGCTTTTCTCCCTGTTGCCATGTTTGCAGGAGCCTATTGATGCCATGTATGCTAAGCTCAAAGCATGACCATGACCTCTGCTCAGAGCTCAAATGTTCATCACATCTGGCTTCATCTAACGTTAGGGCTTCATTCTCCATTTCAGCATTGCGTCAGTTCAGTACTGTTTTTTTTTGCTGGAATGTGCTCATGATATAGTGTAGATATTTGCAGGATAGAGTACGATGTTCAGGAAGCGTGAAGTCAAATAGGACTACAGCATACCAGAATCAGTGGATATCATAGCCTAACGAACTGCAAGAACAATGACAAGTAAAGCAACCTGTATTAACTTTCCCACTAAAGCCATGACAACTCGAGAAGACTTATCCTGCTTGGACTCATACGAATATCTGCCATCTGTGCACACAGCGCAGCAACTAGGAGATGGCCCACCAGTCAGCCTCCCAGAACCTGCCCCAGACCCGGCCTTACATTTGAGTCGACTCAAAAGCATGCAGACAAAACGGCCCTACTTGGACTCATCCGAAGAAAACCCGCCATCAGAACAAGCAGGGGAGCGACTGGGGGAACCGCCAGAGAAGACGATCCCCCAGAACCTACCCAAGACCTGCCCTTACTTTTGAGTGGACTCAAAAGACAAGCAACCAAAATAGCCCTACTTGGACTCGTCTGACGAGGACCCGCCATCGGAGCGAGCAGGGGAGCGACTGCGAGAACGACTGCCAAACGGACCCCCCGAACCTGCTCCAGAACCCCCCTTAAAGCCCCCTCTGGACCCTTTAAACTCTCCTTTGGATTCTTCCTTCGAGTCCCCTCTTGATGCTGCGGGGGACCCTCTGCTTGTGCCCTCATCCCTGTCTATATCAACTTCGTCCTCCTCATCTTCCCCCCCTCCCGACCTCCCTCCACTAGCTTCGGACCGTGCCTTCTTCTCTCCACCCCTCGCCCCACCTTCCCTGTTCGCTGCTGCACTCCTGTCCTGATCGGTCCCCCTATCTCCTCCGGATCTGGCTCGTTTCGGGCTGCCGCTGTTGCTGCTCACACTCCCGCCTCTCTCTCCTCTCTTCCTTTCGCTGCTCTCTCTACTGTCACCCCTTGTTGCAGCCCCACCTGCTGCTGCCTTCCTTCCGCCCTCCTCGCCTTCTCCCTTCACCTCCCTCCTGCCCCTCCCCTTCTCGTCATCATCACTCCTATCCCCTCGCCCCCCACTCCTCCCACTATCCACACTCCGCCTCTCCCCACTCTTCCCACTATCAACACTCCTTTCCCTGCTCCTTCCTCTCGGCCTCTCACTCCCTTCACTATTCTCCCCGCTCCTCCCACTCCCATCACTCTCCTGCCTCCCTCTTGGGCTTTTTCTGCCCCTCGGGCTGCCCGGCCCACCTCTCAGGCTATTTACTTTCCTGCCCGGGCTTCCCCTGCCACTTGCACCGCTGCGCCGGCCTTTGCTGACGTCATCATCGTCGTCACTGCGCCCCTTGCTGACATCATCATCCTCATCAGAGGACTGGCTGCTAGAAGACAATTGAGACCGCCCACCTCCCTCTTCCCCTGCTCCTGTTCCCCTCTTACCTCCTGCTTCTTCCCCTCCCCTTCCTCCTCCACTACCTCCCCCTCTTCCCTCTCCTCCTCCCCCTCCCCTTGCTGCCCCCTCTCTGCCCTGGCCACTGGCTGTGGAGGGTTCAGAAGCAGAAGGGGAGACTGGGGTGGGAGAAACAAAGGGGGGGGGTGGAGGGCGGGACAAAAGAAAGGGAGAGGTTGGTGGGTTGGGCAGAAAAATCGGGAAAATATGGTGGTGAGTGAAGCAGAAAAAAGGGGAGAAGAAGAGACAATAGGAGCCTCCGCAGGTGAGTGGAAGGACCATAATTTGCTTGCAGTGCATGTTTTTTGAGAATTCTCAAACGAATTGCTTGCAAAGGAGGGGAAAAACATACACAACATCATGGTTTGCTTTCAAAGGAGAGGGGAAAAACATACACAGCATCATGGTTTGCTTTCAAAGGAGAGAGGAAAAACATACACAGCATCATGGTTTGCTTTCAAAGGAGAGGGGAAAAACATACACAGCATCATGGTTTGCTTGCTAAGGAGAGGGGGGAACGAGGGGGATTTGTTTGGGGCACGCAAACGAATTGGAATGCAGCACTGGAAGAGGAAAGAAAGAAATAGATAAAACGAAGAAAAACAAACAAACAAACCTCCTCACACCCCTCTCTCATTCTCTCCACCCATCTCCCACCCTCTCCATCCTTCCCCATCCGTCTCCACCCCTCGCACCTGACTGCTTGAAAGAGCCTCGTGTGACAGTGCCAGTCTCCCTTCCCTCTCTTTACTTCCCCCCCTCCTCCTCATCCTCCTCACTGTCCTCTCCTATGAATGCCAGTGCCCTTCGCAGCTCCCTCTCTCACTCACTCCCGCTCTCACAACCCTGGGACGCACCTGACTGCTTGGAAGAGCCTCGTTTGATAATGCCACCCTTCTCCTCCCTCACCCCTCCTCCCCTCTCTTTCCCCTCCTCCTCCTCGTCCTCCTCACTGTCCTCTCCTAGTATCGCCAGTGCCCTTCGCAGCTCATTCTCCCGCTCCTGAAACACAGAATTGGAATAAAGAAGGGATGGATCAACGGTAGAGATGGGTTGACGGCGGAGATGGATTGATGGTAGGGACGAATCGACGGCATAGATTGAATGATGGAAAAGATGGTTTGACGACAGAAACAGATAGACGGCAGGGATCGCTCGACAGCAGAGGTGGATTGACGGCAAAGATGAATCGACGACAAATGGGTTGAAAGAATGAAACGACGGATCATACCAGATAGGACACTGAGCACTGACACATGCAGGGTCATATACAGGAGCATTATAAGAGACATAATAAGAAGCAGAGCTATATCCAGGGAGCAGCATGTTAAAAACACTTTTGAGAATTCTCAGAAGTGATTTCACTATGCCTAGGGAGCAGCATACCTTGATCAGCCTCTTGGCATCTGCAAGCTTGGCTAGATTATCCTCGTCTTCCACATTCCCCAGCTGACGTGGATGCAGGGGTGACGTGGATGCAGGGATGACGTGGATGCAGGGGTGACGTGGATGCATTGGAGAACATGGGCCGTGAGGGAGGGGAGCAAGGAGGGAAACAAATGGGAGGAAGAATCTTGAATTGTAAACAAACAGATGTGTGGTTCACTGCAACGCGTGACATGACTCAACAACTTACCTTCAGGCAGTAAGCTTCTCAGATGCAGCATTCGGAATGGTCACACTCAGCAATTGAAACCCACGATTGAAAGAAAGAAAGAAAGAAAAACCAAATCTCCAAACTAGCAACTTCCAGACTCGAACCCTGACCTTTAAATCTCCACAAGGGGAGGCAGGCTCGCCACTCGCCTCAACCACCCTGCCACCCCCTCTCCTCCCTCCCCTTCCAATTTAACTGCCACCGTCCAGATTCGAACCCTCACCTTTAAGCTCAAAACGCTCACCTTGAGTATCTCCACTAGGGGCGGCAGGCTCGCCACTCGCCTCAACCACCCCGCCACCCCCTCTCCTCCCTCCCCTTCCCCCCCCTTTCCAGGCCCACCTCCTGCCGTCACCCCCACAACATTCCCATAGTAGCTCGCGCCAGCCCCTCCCCCTGCTCCCACCCCCGCCCCCCCTCCTGCCCCTGCCCCTCCTGCAGCGCCGGCAGCGGCAGCAGCAGGTCCAGTTTTCCCCAGTGCACGTGGTGCAGCGGCAGGAGGGACAGCCATGGCCATTCGTGCTGCGGCTGCTGCCGCTGTTGCTGCCGCTGCTGCTGCTGCTGCCTTCTTGCCGTCTTTATCCACCCCAGCAGCCATAAGAGCAGCGGGGGCAGCAGCAGGGGCGGTAGCAGCAGCGGCGGTGGCGGCTAGGGGGAGGGCGGGTGGGCGGATAAAATCGAGTACTGGGGGGCCCTCGACCCATATGATGTCTTCTTTCGGGATCTGAAGGGGTGAGAAGAGGTGCAGGGCAGGTGGGGAGAGGGGGGGCAGGAGTGCAGTTAAGTCGGGTACTGGGGGGCCCTCGACCCATATGATGTCCTCCTTTGGAATCTAAAGGGGGTGAAAGGAGATGTTGGAGCGAGGGAAGAGATGGGAAAGTGGGTGGTGGGCAGATGAAATCAAGTCAAGCACAAGGTGGGGGCCCTCCACCCATATGATGTCCTCCTTTGGAATCTGAAGGGGTGAGGCGGGGAGAGGGAAGAGAGATGAGAGAAAGAACGAATGAGGAAAAGGGAGGGCGGGTGGGCAGATGAAAGTCGAGCACTGGGGGGCCCTCCACCCATATGATGTCCTCTTTTGGAATCTGGGGGGTGGTGGGGGTGGGGTGGGAGCAGGGGGAAGAGAGGGGAAAGTGGGTGGTGGGCAGATGAAATAAAGTCAAGCACAAAGTGGGGGGCCTCCACCCATATGATGTCCTCCTTTGGAATCTGAAGGGGGGTGAGAGGAGAAGTGGGAGAGGCAGAGAGTCGGTTTTGAATCTGGCGAGTAAACACAGATGTGGGAGCGGGGGAAGAGGGGTGAACGTGGGTGGGCAGATGAAATCAAGACAATCACAGACGGGGGCCTTGCACACAAACTATGTCTTCCTTTGGTTCTGGGGGAATGAGATTATGAGAGGAGTACACCGGTGAATACATCCCATCTTCTGACTTATGAGTCAACTCAAAAGTCACCTTGTGATGTCTTCCTTTGAGTCTGGGGGAATGAGAGGAGTACACCAGCGAATACATCCCATCTTCCGGCCTCACGTCTGTTATCACTGCCTCATAGAACCCCCTGTAACTCACAACCCAACCCAACCCATCCCAACCGAACCGTACTGAACTCAACCCACCATATTCAGGTCGACCCATTCGAAGCTCTCATTTGGCGTGTTGAGCTCATACACCAGCGAGTACATACCATCTTCCAGGCGGCCTTAAGAGCACTCAAAAACAACCTGCAACTTACAACCCAACCCGTTCCCTATGTGGACATGGACGCGTCCAGCGTCCTATACGCCAGCGTCCAGACGCTGGCGTATATACGCTGGACGCTCGGATGTCAGGACCTGGACGCTTGGGCCGGGCAGGGGAAAAAAATTTCCGGGCAGGGGGGAAAAAAAGAGGGGGGAGAGGGGGAAAAGGGGGGTACCCGCCACAACACCATACAGAACCGGCACTCCACTTGCTTTCCCTTCACGCCCGCCTTCGTACATGTGCGATAGTGTTTAAACGTAGGGTGCTTAACTTCATCATCTTCGTACACACGACCAGCGCTAAACGAGCCCTGCACGGACTGTGAGTTGGGAGCGCCAGCAGCATTCGAGGTACTAGGTTCCGCCATGGAAGCCTGCTGGAGAAGTTGAGAAATGCTAGAAATGAACGCGATTGTGAGGAAGGAATTGAGTCTGCAAGTGATGCTCGACTATTTAGGAACGTGACGGGGGGGTTGGGTTGGCTAGATAAGAAGGGGTGAAGTGCGGTGGCCTCTGAAATTGTGATGGATCTGGTTCTGTTTTGGCGCTGAGATCCAGCTCCGAAATCGCGATTTCAAATTTCGATTTGAAATCGCGATTTCAAATTTCGACGGTCAATTTTTTTTCCCCGGGCTGCCCGAAATTTTTTTGGCCGAGCGTCCAGCGTCCGACAAGCGTCTAGCGTCCAGCGTACGGACGCTAGCGCATATACGCTGGACGCTCGCTGTCCAGAGCGTATATGCCCACATAGCCCGTTCCAACCCAACCCTACCCAACTGTACCGAACTCAACCCACCATATTCAGGTCGACCCATTCGAAGCTCTCATTGGGCGTGTTGAGCTCATACACCAGCGAATACATGCCATCCTCCGGCCTCACGTCCGTGATCACCGCCTCATAGACCCGCAACCCTTCCCACAGCCAGCAGTGAAGCAGTTCTCACCCGCCTTAGTCCATTCCATTCCCACCCACCCCACTCCCCTCCTCAGTACAGCAGCAGTACAGCCAGCAGTGAAGCAGTTCTCACCCGCCTTAGTCCATTCCATTCCCACCCACCCCACTCCCCTCCTCAGTACAGCAGCAGTACAGCCAGCAGTGAAGCAGTTCTCACCCGCCTTAGTCCATTCCATTCCCACCCACCCCACTCCCCTCCTCAGTACAGCAGCAGTACAGCCAGCAGTGAAGCAGTTCTCACCCGCCTTAGTCCATTCCATTCCCACCCACCCCACTCCCCTCCTCAGTACAGCAGCAGTACAGCCAGCAGTGAAGCAGTTCTCACCCGCCTTAGTCCATTCCATTCCCACCCACCCCCCCCTACTCCTCACCATATTCAGGTCGACCCATTCGAAGCTCTCGTTCGGTGTGTTCAATTCGTACACCAGCGAGTACATGCCATCCTCTGGCCGCACGTCCGTGATCACCGCCTCATAGAATCGCGACCCGCCTCCCTCCTCGACCCACCGCGTCTTCACCCGCCGGCCTATGAGCGGGTCTATGGCTATCCCCCCCAGTGCCCCTGGTGCTGCTGCCAATCCTCCCGCCCCTGCCCCCCGCCCTGCTCCCCCCGGCGCACCCGCGGACTGAAGGGGCGGAGGGGGGAGCGGGAGTCGATGGGAAATGACGGGGGGGGGGAAGGGAGGAAGGGTGATGAAGGATGGGGGGATGGCGGCGGGGGAAGGAGGAGTGATGGAGCGAGAACGGAGAGAGATGGAAGAGGGGAGCGGGAAGGGGGCGGACAGCAGGGTAACTGGAAGACGGTTTGAGGGAAAAAGGGAAGCGGAAGTTGGGAAAGAGTGGGGAGACGGATAAGTTGAGTGGATGGAAGTATTCTTTTGAGTCGACTCAAAAGACGGATAAGTTGGGTGGCTGTAAGTATTGTGGGTGGCTGTAAGTATTGTGGGTGGATGTAAGTATTGTGGGTGGATATTGACGTTGGCAATGCAGTTATCATTCCCCCCATACTCATCGCCCACTCACTCACCCATCTTCCGCGTCGCCCCTTGCCCTTCTCCCCTCTCCGCCCTACCCCACAGCCTCCACAGGCGCCACTGCAAACGGCGCACCCACGCCCGCCCCCTCACTCACCCACCCACTCACTCAACTATCCTCACAGAAGAGCATCGCAGAACTAAAAGCTACTCACCCATCGTCCGCGTCGGCCCTTCCCCTTCCCCCCTCTCCGCCCCGACCCAACAGCTTCAACAGATGTCACTGCAAACGGGGCGCCCACGCCCGCCCCCACTCCCCCAACCCCCCCCACCGCCCCCACGCCCTTCCCCAACGGCGCGCCAGAAAGGGCGGCCATTTTTGGCCGCTTGCGGGAGGAGGCTGGGGGGATGAGCTCGGGGGCGGGCGCAACTGGGGGAGGCGCGGGCGCGGGGGGAGGGGGAGGCGGGTGGTGCACATATGCCCCCGCGTCCCTCGCCGTCTTCCAATTGCTGTGCGGATGGGGGGAACGTGGGGGGAGTGGGGAAGAGGGGACGGATGGGAAGGGGGTGGAGGGTTAGAGGGGGACGGGAAGAAGGGACGGGAGGGGAGAGGGGTAGGGGGGAAAGAGGGGGTGGGGGGTGAACATGTGAGAGAAAAAGCGCGGAAAGGGGCGGAGGGTGCAATGAGGGGTGAGTGAGAGAAAAAGGGCGGAATATTTTCGTCATCGCACACGCGTGCGAGCAAGCAGCAGGCAGGCAGTGCACGGTTTCCTGAATGTGCCTTTTTTAAAAGCCTCAGTAACCAAGCAGCCAAGCCAACCAACCAAACCAAACCCATTAACGACCAACCCAGCCGAGCTGACCCCAACAACTCACCAGATGAGGCGAATATTCTTGTCATCATGCACGCGCGCGAGCAGCAGGCGGTGCACGTCGTCTGAAATGTTGAGCTCCTTGCGCAGATCCGACATCAGCGCCTCCTTCGCCTGCCATGCCAACATGCATGGGCATGTGCCATGCGATTATGCCATGCAATCATCGGGACACATGCGTGCATCACAGGGCGAGTGGCAGAGGGGGGAAGGGGATTAGAAGGTGCACGTCGTCTGAGATGTTGAGCTCCTTGCGCAGATCCGACATCAGCGCCTCCTTCGCCTGCCACGCCATGCCATATCACGCCACCATGCCATTCCGTGCCATGCCATGCCATGCCATATCACGTCACCATGCCATTCCGTGCCATGCCATATCACGCCACCAAGCCATGCCGTGCCATGTCACGCCACCATGCGCCATGCCGCCATGCCACCAAGCCACCATGCATGCACCAAGGGACGGCTCAGCTAGAGCGGCAGAGGGGCAATGGAAGTGGAAGATGTGCGTCGATGTACTGGCATCCGCCTACGCGGGTGATCGCCCCTACCCACGTGATCGCACCTACCCACGTGAACGCACCCACCCACGTGATCGCGCTATCCAAATGATCCCCCTACCCTCATGGTGCGCCACCCACGTGATCGCCACGTGATCGACCCTATCCAGGAGGTCGTCCTACCCATGTGATCGACCCTACCCACTTGGTCACCCTACCCACGTGGTAGCCCTACCCAGGTGGTCACCCTACCCACGTGGTCACCCTACCCACGTGGTAGCCCTACCCAGGTGATCGCTTCGGACTGCGCGCCGAACGCGCGGAGCACGGCGAGATACGAGTCGCGCTCCAGCTGCTGCAGCATGGCCTCCCACCCGCCGCCCCCCGCGCCCCCCTCCTCCACGCCCTCCATCCCCGCGGGGCCCCCTCCGCCGCCCCCCACCATCCCCGCGCCCGCGCCCGCCGCCGCCGCTACCGCTGCGACCGCAGCTGCGGCGGCTGTTGTGGAGAGGTTGGAGCCTCGGACGCTGCTGCCTCGGCCGAGCCTCTTGGGCGGGGATGGGTACGCGTCGTCGTCCGAACCTGCGGGGCAGGCGCGGAAGGCGTGAAGAAGAACGTCGACAGGAGCGTTAGGGTTAAAGCCGACCGTGAAACGCAGCAACGGCGAACCGAAAGGCGGAAAAGGTCATCCAATAAATATGAATTATAGGAAAGGACCGGCTGAAAGAGAAGAAAAACGTCAATTATGGAAGGGCAAATGGCTGAGGTCTAGCACGCGAGAGTAGGGATACCAATAAGGCGGATTACAAGCCCGATTAACGGAAGCGGATCAGGTTGCGGGTGAGGTGACGAGGTACCAGGGACGAGGGTATTATTAACGACTGCTTTGGCAGGTACGAATGGAAGGTGAAGATGGTAATACGGACCGTCATGACCTGCGGCCGGCACAGGCTTGCTGGCCCCTCGCTGCTTTGCCTGCATACATCAGCGTGATGCAACACGAACATTGTAGGATATCGAAAAGAAGAAGGGTTAGGTCGTCGATAGGTGGGGGAGAGACCAAGAACGGGACAGCGTAGAGACGACCACGGCAAACTCACCATCGATGAAGAATGGGCCTAACTAAGCTAACAGAAGCGATAAGGGAGGTGGAAAGCCTAACCCTAACCCTAAACTGGCTTCAAACTATTTGTAGAATATCCAGCAAAGAGCAGTACGTGCACAGCCTGTTTGCTCATGTGTGTTATGATTTTCCACAACGAAAACAGATCTACAGTTATCGCGGATGAAATCGCACGGACCGAGCTGTGATCGGCGTGCGACGGACGGTTCGGAACCAAAGTTCGGTTCACCTGCCTGCCTGGGATTCTCCCCATCTTCGTGCGGGTCGCGCTGTCAGGGCTGCTTGATTTCTGCGATAGCGTGCCCTCGTTTCGTTTCGCCTGTGGGTTCCTGACGAGTCGTTGGCCAACCAGAGTCGCCGTAAATTGACAGGCTGTAATCAAAGCTCGTCAGGAGTGGTGGACGACTTTCGATGAAGGTCACGGACACCATTCTGACTTACCTCCCACGCACCTGTTCCTCGTTGTTGCCCCTCGGTTTTCACGAACTGTTCCGCCGGCTACCTCCCCTCCCGCGTGCCATTCCTTGGAGTTTTGCTTCACCGCCGCCCCCGCGCCCCCCGCCTTTACCCCGTCCGCCCTCCCCAAACCAATCAATCCCCTTCAGCATTTCTGCCGTGCCGTTTGTTCTTGTGTCACCCCCATTTCTTCACTAGGAGAAAGGAGTCTCTATTCCTACTCACTCACCGACCTTTCACATACCTCTGTCCCCCTTGTGGTCTGCTTCAGCACAACTTCTCGCAGACTTCAGTTCCCTTTTAGCTTCTCGCCTGGGACATCGAGTGTCGTATGTGTTATGGCTAACATCGTCTCTCGCTAGCGTTTGAAAGCAAGCGTGACTGCTATCTCGCTACCGCCGATAGCGGACCTTCGCCGCGTCCTGGTCTCATCGAATAATTGAGAAGTCGAATAAGTGAAGCCATGGGCCCGGTTCGATTAAGTCGAATAAGCGATGGGTCCTGCTCTCCGTCATCCACAACGTCATGTTGTAGAGTTTCCTCTACTCCAGCTCGACACAATCCGACCCTCAACATCCCACCTCGCCAACACCGACACCACCGACCGCACCATCCGCAACCGCGCGTCCTCCTCCTCCTCCCGCTGCTTCTCTTTATCGCCAGTTCACCCTCCTACTGCTCCGCCGCAAAGCCCGCTCCCTCCACCGCGAAACCTCCCCGCGCAGTGCTCTCCTCCCATTCCGTGGATTCCGCTCCGGACCCGTTTGGTAATGCCGAGGTGCTCGGATTTCCCAAGCCCCCCAATCTCATTTCCGACAGCACACCCGCTGCCACCGTACGTCAACGCTCCACTGACGATAACGATGACGGATTCCGTCAAGAGTTGCTTTCCGTCAACCCGCCTAAATCACCTGTTTCCGTACTGACCGTCAGTATCCTAACGGTGCTAATGGCGGCAGCGACAGGCCTCGGGTCGCTGCCGTTTTTCTTCATGGAGATGGAGGAGGAGTGGGCTGGCGTGTGTAACGGCGTGGCTTGCGGCGTGATGATGGCAGCTAGTTTCGACTTAGTCTCCGAGGGAAGGTTGCACGACAGCGGATCAGGCGGCGCGTGCGTTGTGGTAGGGATTATTCTAGGCGGGCTGTTCATTGTTTTAAGTCAGCGGGTATTGGAGCAGTTCGGGGACGTTAAAATGATGGATTTAAAAGGCGCATCGGCCAACCGCGTGGTTCTCATCCTCGTTATCATGACCCTCCACTCCTTCGGCGAAGGCTCGGGAGTCGGCGTCTCCTTCGCCGGCCCTCGCGGGCTGTCGCAGGGGCTGCTGGTTACCATCGCCATCGCCGTGCACAACGTACCGGAGGGCCTCGCGATGACTCTCGTCATGGTCGCGCGCGGTGTGCGGCCGCGCAACGCCATGCTCTGGAGCGTCTTCACGAGCCTCCCACAACCACTCGTCGCTGTTCCCGCGTTTCTCGGCGCCAACACCTTCACGGAGTTCCTCCCGCTCTGCATGGGCTTCGCAGCGGGCTGCATGATCTGGATCGTTTTCGGCGAGGTTCTCCCGGAGTGCATTAAAGAGGGCGCCAACTCCTCCCACGTCGCCTCTGCCGCGACGCTCTCCGTCGCGTTTATGGAGGCGCTCGGAGCTTTCCTCGAAGGCGCGGACGCGCCTGAGAGCTGGCACCGATTGGTACCGATTGCTTGGGCGCTTCTGTTTTTCCTCGGGCCGCTCCTAGGGTCCGTACTCCCGCTCATCCTGTCCCAATCGCTCCCTGCCCCTGTGTCGCCGCCTCTGCTATCCGGGCTAGCGGGAGGGGCGCTGCTCGGTTTGGCGCTGTGGCAGCCGGTGCAGCTGCTGGTAACCGGGCAGATGGAGGTGCTGCCGCTGCTATCAGTGTTCTACGTGGGCTGTGTGCTGCATTATTTCTGTGCCAGTATGGGGCGGGGCCTGGGGGGTGGGTGTGTGGGCAACGCGCAGCAGAAATTGCAGGGCGGTTTTGGTGACGTTCAGTATAGTCACGGGCTGCAGCAGTGGGTTGGGGACGGCGATGAGGAGGTGCTCCGGGCGTGCAAGCCGAGCCTGCAGCTTAGCTACGGAATCCGAGCCTCCATTCTGGTCTGTATTGCTGTCTCAGGCCATGCTTTCGCGGAGGGGCTTCTGTTGGGGCAGAAAGCAGCGCCTGGAGGGGACCTAGGAGGCGATTTAGGAGCAAGAGGAACAGGAGGGGGGGGAGTAGGAGAGATAGGGATGCGCATGCTGCTTCCAGCAGCCATTCACGGCGTGCCACGTGGCATTGCTGCAGCAGCCGCTGCGCTAGGTGCCTTCTCCATTACTCGGTCCACCCCGGAGCTTCCCTTAGCCGCAGTTCCCTTGGCACTCGCATCTGCGGCTGTAGCGGGGCTGGCGGGGCCTATCGGGGCTGTAGCGTCTTTCTTTTTTCTCCATAGCTTTGGAGCCGGGCTGCTGAACTGGCTTGTGCTAGCCTGTGGCTTGCTGGCCCCTGCAGGACTGGATCAGCTGCTTCCTGGAGGGTTGTGGGTGGCTGGTGGAAGAGGAGTTGTGGGTGGGAAAGGAGATTGGGGATGGAGTGTTTTGGACAGGAGACGAGTGGTTGTGGGGGCGGTCTTGGGAATCATGCTTGTGGTGGTGAGTTTCATGGGGAAGAGGTCGATATGTGCGCACTCTAGTTACTGTAATGCGGCTCCGGTGGCGCTGACATGAGTTGGTGTGTACATTGAAGTGGCATTGCAGCATATGGGTCTGTGTTATTGATGCTCAAATTCTGCTAGGTGTACATTGTCTTCATGCCCTAAAAATCCATGTTTTTGTAACTCTGTAGGTTCTTTGCGAATTGTACATGTTGAGTTGAATTGTACATTTCTTGCTATGCTATGTAATAGCGACACAACTACTGTCTACTGTAGCCTTGCCAGGTCAATTATGTTGCCTAATCGCTGATGTCAGGGCATCCATTTCAGCAGGCGACATTCCCTGACATGCCGCCGCCTTTCTCCAGTCTCCCTGCAAGTCCTCACCTTCAAGTTCGAAATTCTATGCCCATTTCCTTCTGGCCTTGGGATCTGATGTAGGGAGGATTCTGAATGGTGCTTCGAGAATCTAGACCCCGCGTCGCCCTTGCTCCAGAACTTTCGAGACGCTTCGCTGACCCGCCGCCAGGGCAGCAGGATGGCTCGAATCTTGTGTCTGCTTGCTGCGGTAGGAGAGCGTGCATGGAGAACGCTCACCATGAGAGGCACCTTTGGAACGCATCATTCTTGCTATACTAGGAAGCGAGTGATTCAAGCTCTCTTTTGCCTGCATCATCGCTGTAGTACAGACCTTTTTCAACGGGGGATACTAAAACGTTCAGACTACTTTCGGCTAGCGCTCACACATTTTAGTCAATCAGGCTTCTGAGTCGATTCAGAGAACCTTTTCAGAAGCCCAGCTTCGAGCTGTAGTTGACGTTAGTTGCTTGCAGAAGAAGCATAAGTCATGGCTTCCGCTTCTTCTCAGGCTGGATTCTTAGCGAAGCAGGGTCTGAGCTTCTTGTACAGCGCCACTGTAACGGGGGTGAACGCAGTGTCGACAGGAATCAGCAAGGCATATAAGCACTACGCGGATTTGCACGAACGGGAGAAGATCGAATCGATGCGCAAGGCAGGGAAACGCCCAGAAGACGTCATCTTTGCAGGTGCGACATGGTATCCCATCAGCAGATCCGCTTCATCCATTAATCACTCTAGTCCGTTCAGTCGTTTATGAATTCCTGACTTCACGTCTTACGGACCTCTGACTGCTTTCTCCTCTCTTGCAGCCCTTCAGCGGCTGCTTCACCTGGAAATGGCGGGTTACCACCACGAAGTGGCTGCAGTTTCGCAAAAGATCGCCACTAAGCTGGTATAGTATTTGTAAATCGGCCTAGCCCGATAGCCATATTGAACGCTTGACGGCTTGTAGCCGATATGCTAAACTATTTGTAGCCGACAATGTAACTCTCCACATGATCTGAAGCTCTCGCGTCACTTCCTGTATAATTTGATTATCTCAGTGCTCGTGTAATATATGGCACAGTGGGCGACTATTGAGATTTCTTTTTGTCTTTCGCTGGATGTGTGTTTCAGGGCACAGCAGACGACAGGAGCAGCGTGGAGCATCAGACGCTGCAGGCACTCAGCCGGACCCTTGTGGAAGCATGTCGTCAGCATGGCATGGACGTGACGCCATCAGTGAGGGGCGGGAGGCTGGGGTTTCAAGGCCTCGAGGACTTTCTGAACTCGTCGCGAATGGGAACTGACCACTATGATCGTGACAAGCTGGTTACTGACCTGTATTTCGCATTCCTGTTCGCTCAAGATGTACGTGACCTACTATAATTCGCCCACTACTTGCAGCGTTGTATGTATGTTTCCTTAGGCATGCGAGAGTGCACCTGCTTTGTTGCAAGAATAATTACAAATTTCCTTCCAATGTATCTATTTTGTCTATTCTTCTTTCTCTGATCCTCTCTCAGGTCGCTCAAGGCAACACTCAACGCATTGAAGCAGCACTTAACGAAGCAGTGGAGAGGCTTATATCAGGACCAGCTCGAGACTGTCTGTCGCCTGTATCCCCCCTGAGCCCAGCATCCAGCGGGGGTGCACCTTCTCCTGGCAAAACCGTTGGAGGCTTCACCTCTGGCTGTGTCCGTGCTGCTTCTGGCAACGACCTCCCTGCTTACGCTCGTCCAGACGCTCTCAAACTGCCCCAGGCCCCTCCGACATCTGCGTCCTTCGCTTCCACCACGACTTCTACCAGTAGCAGCAGCAGCAGTGGGGGCAGATGGGGTTCGTCACCTTCATCAGCGAGCAAGCAGGCAGGGAACAAGCCGGCACCTCTTTCGGGCGTTGGAGCAGAAGATGACAAGATGTGAGTAGCCCATGAGCTCATCCTACCTCGCAACTGATTTGCATGGGTATCATGCCACCATTCCGCATGGAATCACTCACTCCTTGTCTGACACGTGTCTGCATGTGATTGGCAGGTCGGGCGGGCTTCTGGTGCTCAAGCGGCTGGCGTGCTGTGTGGCTAGGGCGGCAGCAGAGGCAGAGGCGCGCAGGCAGAGAGGGCTGCTGGACGCACAGGAGGTGGTGAGGAGGGAGCAGGAGAAGTCCAGCCGAGCAGCAGCCCTGGCTGGTGGCGGATCAAGTGGGGGAGGCGGAGTGGGGGCGGGAGTGGGTGGGGCGGGAGTGGCTCGGGGTATGCCCATGGGTGGGGGAAGGCCGATTCCTGCTGCATCTGGTGGTGCTTCTGGTGCGTGGGAATGTGTGTCTCCCCTCAGTGCAGGGAGCGTGGGCGGGCCCCCTGCTGCCAGGGTTGCTGCTGCGTCCAACTGGAAGGGGGGTAGTTGCATTGCTGTACCTGGGGATGCTTCGGTTGGGGTTTATGGTGGGGGGGTGGGGGGATTTGCTGGGGGAGTGGGTGGGGCGGTGGGTGGTTATGGGACGTCTGCTGGAAGTGGAAAGGTGGCAGGTGGGAAGGGCGGTGTAGGGGGGTGGGGAGGTGGGAAGAGTGGTGGAGGGTGGTAAGTTGGTAAGCAATATGGGCAGTGGCAGTGGCAGGGCGTGGGTTTGGGGATGGGAGGGATGGAGGAAGGCGGGAGGGAGGGCAGGTGAAGGAGAGTGCTACTGGGGTTAGAGTGGCACAGCTGGTTGGGGTATGGGAATGGTGGAGTGAATACCATACCGGTACGGTAGAATTGTCTCAGGTGGACCCACAGCAGAGATGTACTGGTACTGTATTGCTGTAGAGTAGAAAGCCCACACCGATTTCGCACTTCGTCTGACAGGCACCTAGCCTCTGTCTGACAGTTACCTAGCCATCGTCTGACAGGCACCTAGCCTTCAGGATGAGACCATCAGGCATCTCGTAACTAGTAAGCAGTACAAATCCTTCTACCATGCCATCAAGTGTAGGAATCGTATACATGTCAGGTTATGAGCACACATTGTATGTATACATTATCAATGTGATACGGCCATTTATACATTCGACACCTGATGCATGATCTAGTACATACATACTGATCCTAAGCAACATAGCCAAACAGCATTTGCACCACCCTGCTCCGCACCTTGCAACAGCATTTGAAAGTCCTGCAGGCAAACGAGTTCCATGGTAGGCCCTTGGTACTCAGTTTGACACAGCAGGCCCACCATATGACCGCCCAGTGCCCAACCATCAGGGGCACAGGTGACAGCGATGGAAACGAAGCCCTGTTACCATGTGGTTGGCTCTAACAGATAAGAAGTGTACCGCTACCCTCCGCTCCCCGTGTGCCACACAAGTTCTAGTGGCAAGGGCTGTAGGCGCGGGAGGAAACTCGCCTGTTCCTGCAACCTACAACCCCTTCCACATTTATTTTGCTCAATGCTACGCATCAGGGTAACGGGTCTCCTTGTGTAGGGTCTCAGAACCCGTTACTACCGCGCTGTGATCGGCCAGATCAGCATATGGCCTGCGGAATCCAGCGGCGGAAGATCTGGCCGCGAAGGGCACCGTTGGGAAACGCCTGAGTGTTGATCTGCACGTAGTAACGCCCCGGGCTCGCGTCGATCTTCCTGATCAGATCGTAGATAGACGTGCCGTCTTGCATCGGCTTAACGCTCGTCGTCGTGCTGAATCCACCGCCGCTGCTCGCGCTCGACGTGTTAGCGGGTTTGATGACGTTCGCCTTCCCGTCAGACGGAGCGCGAGTGAACGCCGAATCCGGCGGGGTGACGCCGCTGTTGCTCGCAGTGGATCCGCCCCCGCCCCCGCTCCCGTTATTGTCAACGACACCCAGACTGATGTACTTGTTGTCGGCATCCGTAATCCACGTGTCGACCTTCAATTCGTTGATATCGTCGAGGGTCCAGGGGTTAGGTAGGCGCCAGACGAGCGAGCCGGTGCTGCCGCGGCGGCCGTCGTAGAGAGTTTGGCCGGTCGGCGGCAGCGGCGCAGTGAGCGACTCGATGTCGAAATGAAGCTTTATGTTGATCTTGCTGCCTTGCCTGCAAACGTCGGCGGGATGCGGCAGGAATTGGAGAGACATTGCATGTCAGAGACGGTTGCACACTTGAGAGGGAAGAGAAAGGAGGACGGCCATTGCAAGAGGATTCGATACAAAGCCCGGGACACTCACTGCAAGACGATTCGATAACAGCCCGGGACACTCACTGGAAGACGAGGATGCGGAAGTAGCCATACGCGCCGGAGTCGCCGCCAAGATTCGAGCTGAGAACCTTGTTGGGCTTGAGGTTCGAGATCAGCGTGCCTGCGGGGGGGGTTCACAGGGGTGAAGTGAGGTGAGGTAAGGTGAAGCGAGGTGAGGTGAGGTGAGGGGAGGGCATGTGAAGGGTCAAATGAGGGCATGAGGATTCTCCGAGGTAGGGGTATGGACAAGAGGGCATGGAAAACACGTCGACTTCACGATAGCCTTAGAAAGGTGGCGACCTCGGAGCCTTGGAAAGCCTTGGAATGCAAGTCTAGCGGCGCGGGCAGATGGCATGGTGGTGTGACGAGTTTGGGCAACCACGCCACAGAGAGCAGACGATTGGACGATAGTTTGTGCCAGATGGGGCTCGGGGCTATAACGCGAGTAGATACACACGAGAGGGGCGACTAGAGGGCAATCGAACGACATATGGCGGACCACAAGAGGTGTGCGACAAGGCGTGCGAGAGGCGAGTAAGACTCACATTTAGGAATTCCAGGGAAGGGAATTGATTGCGCGTCAGCTGTTAGCGAGGGTACTAGTACGAGCAGGGCCGATAGCAGCACCGCAGACACCATGGCGGACGGCGATTGCGGCATTACTACGAGGGACTGAGATACGCGAGATGAAGTGGGATGGAAGAAACTAGCAGAGTTTCGAAGAGTTTGGAGCTACGCTACGCGGAGTGGAAGCTGAGCGATGTGTTCGTTGTACATGCGGAGGTTTAAAACCAGAACAGGCCTAGCGGATTTAGAGCACTGTTGTCTAGAGTTTGTGTGTAGGATGCTTTGGAATAGGAACTATGCTGAGTCTAGCTTACGACCACCGACGTTTTTTTTCCTGGTGACGCATACACGCCTCTGCCAACGAGTCTGCCGACGAAGATTGGAAGAAGCGGCTACACACTAGGGGGTTGACCGACACGGCGATGCTGGGATGATAGTAGCTGCCATGGGCAAGACTAGGTGATGAATGTGGACCGTTATGGAGGAAGGGAGTGGGAGGGAACCTCCACGTCAGGTACAAGCAAAAAGAGTCTAGTCCCCCCTAGGCACTGATGAAGCGAGCAAGGGGTGGTGTGTGAAGCCTTGATGACAATGGAAATGCCGGAGTGGTTGGGAGAGGATGAAATTCTTCGAGTCAAAGCGCGGAAATTCGCGCTCCATCAAGTCGCTCGTGCGAGTCGCGCCATCAATTTCTTGCACGACGAGGCTTCCTCAAGCCCCAAGCTTGAATCCGCCGTCAATAATTCGTTCGATATTACCATCCACATTTCCAGAAGAACGCCGAAGCCCCAGCAAAAAAGCGCAGACCCGCAGCAACAGTCAAATAACACACTTCCAGGTTATGCGAGATTTTAATGCATTATCCAATGAAATTCGAAAAAATGTAATGAAATGCAACCAGTAAGAGTTCCAGAATACCCGGTGTAATTAAATGAGGTCAATTATACTTAATCAGCGTTGTAATATCTTCCATTTGCAACACTGTTCATGCCATCTTTCGACCATTCGTAGCATCGCCAATCTTGGCTGTTTGCCCATCCATTACTAGTATTCGCTCCATCTGGCCCTTGCCACACGCCTCTGCTGGTGCTCAGTTCTGCTGCCTGTGTGCTCTCTGACGAGCGCACCAAGCAGCATCGACTGGGACTTCACGCTAAGGTTAACCGAGAGAGCCTCCGCTCCGCAAGCACATTACTCTCTGCACAAAAAGCTCCCAGGCATGTATCTCTACAGTGCTCGATGGAACAAGCACCACCAGCACCTGCCGTGACAAGAAACCATAGCTTTGGGCTACCCTTTGTTGCAGCCAGAGATGGTGGTGGTGCACATCCCACTAGGCTAGAGCAAGATCACAACTAGGTAGGAATCTACGTTAGCTGTGCTCTTTGAATGCGAATATTGTGACAATTACGGTATCGGTTGTCCATCTAGTGGATGCAGGGGCGTCAACACGCGCGATTGCTGTTTAGGCTTAGGAGGTTACTACCTACCTACGTGTGCAGTCCTCACGTGAACCAAACCATATGCCCATACCTTCCCGAAGATGCCTGCTCCCAGCCGGGATACTACGGTACGGTATATTCAAACATTTTGTGCTCCTCATGTATGCATCCCAAACAGTGCTTCTGCTGGGCTGGGTGACCAAGTAGTACTTGAGAACTTCAGCCTCTGCAGTACCTGAGAAAGCCGTAAGTCTTGTTGACTAACTTCAAGGTCTCAAGGCCCCGTATTCAATGTATTGAATCTAGCTCCCTTCTACGGGCTTGAAAACGTGCTTTGATCGATCAGCTACCCCGTGTGAATTGAATCCCAATTGAGCTTCTGATTACCAGTGTGCAAGTCACTCATTTTGATAACAAGGAATTCTACAAACGAGCATTGCCGTGATGTGATGGGTCCTCCCCCATAACAAGGAATCACAAAGCAGAGCCATCGAGTCGATATGGCATGTGCTATTCACAGAAGGACGCCTAGTGCGGAAGGAAACATCACATCAGCACTGCTTTTAGCCCGCAGTATAACATGCATTCGTATAAAAGGCCTTGAGAGTTTCACAAGCGGACCCCTCTCCCATGCCCCCTTTAGCAAGCGGGCAGCTTTGGTGCCCGTTCTCCTATTTGCCTTGCGCGGGGAGCTTGGTGCCCACGGGGAACTGCGGGTTGTCAACTCCGTGCGCGACGAAATACGGTCCAACGTACATCTCCGGATCCATCACAGTGCTCCACGTCGCCTTCGCCAGCCCCTGCTGCCCCAGGACCACGCTCGGGCCCGCCTTCGACATTTTCACGAGGTTTACTCCGTTGAGCTGCGTCGGCAGCAGCTGGCCCTTTTTGACCGCCTGCAGATGCGGCAGCGTGAGGCGCGTCGCGACGATCTGCACGGCCGTGAGGTTGTACGCCGCGTCGTTGGAAATCTTCTTTCCCTTGAAGCGCAGCGCCAGGCTGTCCGCCACCGCGTCGCTCATCAGCAGAATCGTGGCGCTCTGCAGCGCCGTCAGATTGTACTTGGAGTTCACTGTATCGGGGATGGGGAGGCGAGGAGGGGGAGTAGGGGGAGGGGAAGGAAGGATGCTCGGAAAAAGCTCAGGCAAATCTCGATTACTTCTTGAAAAAAAAGCTTTGAAACTCAAAATTGGGTGCTTTGGGTTCTTCCTGGCATTTTCTGACGGGACTCACGGGCGATGTTGATGGCCTTGTTGACTTGCGTCGAGTAATTGGCGTATTTGGGGTACTTCGCCGTGATCGCCGCCGACAGCTTCTTCAGCTCGGCGCGCAGCTGCGCCTTCGTCGGAGGCGGCGCTGGCTTTGGCGCTGCTCCGCCCGCTGCT